ATATATATATATCTCTATATATATATATCTCTCTCTCTATATATATATATATCTATATATCTATATCTATATATATCTATATCTCTCGCCCTTGAATGCCTAAAGGACCTGGTGACCATGCGAACAACTATTTTCACAACTGTGTGTCTGAATGACATTAACGAAACAAACCCGTACACGCGGATCAATGGAGAAATGGTTTTTCCAGCATCAGAAAAGGGTAACGCTGACTCTCAGTCATCCCAAAAGACATGAAGAGAACTGAAGTAGTGCATAAAATTGAGTCAGTGCCCTGAAGACCAGACTTTAACTGCCTATTAGGACAGTTTTACAGCCAGTCCCACTGCAGCAGGGGACCGTCTCATTCAAAATGCTCCCACAGGTCGAAAAACAGTCAGAGTTACTAATGAGACCATAGCCAGCAGCGAGGAGGGAAAAATGCAAAATTAATAGCTGCGTTACATTCATCACTTATAAACTGGACGTTTAGTGATGATTTTCACTGGACTTTTCACATCCCCTTTATCACTAATGATGAGTTTTGACACCTCAGGAAATATCAGTGAAGATGTGGGTAGAGTAATTTCCAGGTTTTTCCAGGGGCAGCTGCACAGGCAGAGACCCCCTCACTAACATCTGATGTACATCCAGCCGGCTGAAATATGGGCTGCTGCTGGTAGACTTTCAAGCGGTAAAGAAGAGGAAGTGATCAAATGATGCAGTCATGGCTGACAGGGTGATTTATTTATTTCCCCTGGTTTCTGTTTATTAGAATCTCATCTAGTCTCAAGTCTCACTTGTATGAGAAGCTTGTTAAAAAACAAAGAAACTACTTTCTATTTTTCTAATCATCGTTTTTCTCTCGTGGACATCAACTCTGATTTCTTGCATGTCACATCGGTCGACTTTTCTAAATTGCCACGTCTGGGATATTTGCTGTTTTTCTTTTATGACGGGAAAATAATTAGACAGGCGTGTTTGTTCCAAACGTATCGAAGAGAACAGATGTGACAGAAACTGATGAGTTTTCCCAGGAACAGAACTTTGTCAGAAAAACACGAGCGACGTAGCAGGAACTTTCTCCTGCAACTTGAAAAAACATGGAGTTTAATCTCGCAGATTTTAAGGACGCGGTGTGCAAATCGTTTAAATATTTCATGTTCTCTCTGAGCACAAGTCAAGGATAAAAACAAATCAGTAAATCTCTTTGTCTTTGATTAAGACACTTTAAAAAAGTGCTTACAAAGTCATTAAGAAAACCTCTACATGAGTGTGAACATGTAAATGCACAAACCCTCTCAGTCCCTAAGGACCCACTGGGGCGCACTGACAGAGGCGAGGCTGCCGGACACTGGCGCCACCGGGCCCTCTGACCACCTCCAGTAGGCAACGGGTGAAGTGTCTTGCCCAAGGACACAACGACCGAGACTGTCCAAGCCGGGGCTCGAACCAGCAACCTTCCGATCAAAGGGGAAACTCCCAACTCTTGAGCCACGACACTAGTAGCTGCTGGGACTTCGAGTCACCGCTTTCCAACCAGGACAGGCTTCTAGACTTGAATGACTGAAAGAAAGAAAACAGCCGTAGCTCATTTCCTCTTCAGCTGTTTTTCAAGCTGCTTTAATGTTAGCGAGTCTTGTAAAAATGAAATAAACACCAAACATTTCATATTTCCATCTGGCTGCTCTGCTTTGCAGTCAGCCTGACCTGAAGGGCACCTGAGTACAAAACAGAAAAGTCTCCTTTTTAAAGAAAGACTCTAAAGTATGTTCAGAAAGTTTAACACTGCATTCTCCTTTGAAAAGACTTCATTCAGCGAGACCTAAAAGCCAAAAGGTAGATGCTGAAATGCTGAGATTTTCTCCATGTTCCTCCTTTCTGTAGCACAGTAATAGACACTCTGTGGTGGAGAGGTGACGGCGTAATGTTTGGATTTGAAGTCAACTGCTGAATTTTATTTCACTTCAAGGCTACTCTTCATAACTTATATTATTACTCATCTTGTGTTTTTTGTATTACACGATGATGTAAAATGAATGGCACACTCCATGAAAAGCTGTCGATTACACATTTACACAAAAGCCTTTCATAGATTTTAAAGAGTTGTTAATTCCACAAATGAAATATTCTTTTTTTCCTGAAAGCCTGTCAGTTATCCTGTCAGTTATGCGTCTTTCACCTTCAAACCTTATATATCGTGTCTTTTAATATAATTATAAAATCTTAAACTGATCCAGATGAAAAGCTCTGAGACGGGGACACGAGCAAAACTGGTGCATCTCAACTTGCCCATGAATTCTCCTCTCTATTTCCTCCATTATCTGCCACCCAATCAGGAGCCGTGTTTGAGAGAGGGCAATCTTTCTGCGTGTTTTGATATTAGACACGGAGGATGATGGTATAATGGTTTATCTTCCTTTGATTTCTAGATTATGCCAAAGGACAATGAGACACGGTCGACTCTGATGTATAAGTACATCATCCATGAAGATTCGGTGCCCATCAACAATAACAATGTCATCCAGGAGGAGACCTATGAGTGGGCTCTGAAGAGCTGGTCTCCGTGTTCCAAGCCATGTGCTGGAGGTAAACTCAGAAACTACCTTCACTTAAAAAAAAATTATTAAAATTGTATATTGAAGTTTCATATTCAGTCTATAGGTGTTTGTGATGATCTGCTTTCATCCACATTCTCAAGCTGTGTCTTTGAAGTAAGAAATTATTGACTGAGTGAGCTAATTCAACCAAATATTTTGTCTTCAAACAAGATGATTGACATATATTTCTTATATGCACTTCTAACCACAAAGTCTTTTCATTTGCATGGATACACAGAATATCGAAAAGGTGTTATTGGCAGTACTCACTGTTTCTTAGTGTAGGAAAGATAAGGTTGGTACTTGATATAAGATTGATTTTTGCTACCCTAACCGTTTTTTTCTTTTCCCCCGATGGTCATGAGTCCTAAAAAAACTTCATTTATCATTTTTCTACTGTGTTTTTTGGTATTATTCATATGTCAAATGTTATGTTTGGTTTTTAAACATCCCTGTGCGAAGAGCATCAGCATTTCAAATCTGCAGAATTGGCCACCAAAGATGTCACTGTGAGCTTAAATTTCACGACTTCATAGCTGCAAATATTTCAAACAAAGAAACAAACTAATACAACATTAATATTGGTCAAATTTTGCATCTTATTATATCTACTTGATATGTGACTCTGACCTTTAGTGTGGGAACAGCATGAAATTTGTAATCCTGCAAAAGAAAATTACACATTTTTCCAGCTTACTAAATATCCCATAATGGTAAATGGAACTTTTATACTCGAGTACTTAAAGCACTTTCGTGTCTCATTCACACTTGAACTGTTAACTGCAGTTCTTTCCCTTCTTGATGTTGCACATGCTTGTGTTATATTTATATTAGCCTGAATACACCTCTAAGATTTTATGCAGCAGGCTTAAGCTCGCTGGTATTTAACTTAAAAGTAGACAAAAGCTTTAAGACACATTTTAAACTTAAAGGAAATTAGATATAAAAATGTGACTTGAGTAATTGCAAAGGAACTTTGAAGTTTGAAAGTCAAACCCCAGTAAAAGGATGTGAACTGTCTTTCTAATTAAAACATGGGGTTTTTGGGGGTGGGGGTTTTCTGGACAGGGTTTCAGTACACCAAGTATGGATGTCGGAAAAAGGGAGACACCAAGATGGTTCATCGAGGCTACTGCGACGCTGGCAAGAGGCCCAAACCCATCCGAAGAATGTGTAACCTTCAGGACTGCACACAGCCTCAGTGAGTACAGGCCTCCCCTCATCCTCCAGCTAAAGAAAGCTTTCTGTTAAACTTCTACTCAAGCTGGACCTGACGAACATGTTGCCAGCATTAAGTCTCAGTCATTCCCAGTGGGACTGACTCCACCAGAGTTGCCCTTTGCCACTCTTTCTCTTCATCAGTGGCAACTTATGAACATAATTTCTAAGTGCAGCCGAGGAGCAGAGGGTATCACAGCCAGTGGTCTCGAGAGCTCGTCAGGGCTTTTTGTGGACGACGTGGCCCTCTTGGCTTCATCAAATGGCGACGTCCAGCTGACACTTGAGGAGTTTGCAGCTGAATTTGAAGTGTTTGGGTCGGGAATTAGCACTTACAGGTCTGAGGCCATGGTTCTCAGATGGAAAAGAGTGGAGTGCAAAATCAGTGTAGGGGATGAATTTCGTCCTCAAGTGCCAGAGTTTAAGTATATCAGGGGCTTGTTGAAGAAATTGACAGTAGGATTGGTCCTGCCTCGGCAGTGTTGCAGACGTTTTACTGGTCTGTTGTCAGTCTACATTCTTGCCCTCCATGGCCACGATCTGCAGGTAGCAACCCAAAGAATACCTTTGTGAGCTCAAAAGAGACGTACCCTCCTGCATATCGACAGGAGACAGCTGACGTGGACGCCTCCTAGATGAGGCATTTTGGGCGTGTCCAACTTGGAGGAAGCTGCAGAGCCAGGACACACTTGAGAGGTGTCTTGTGTCTCCTTACGTTTTCACAGGAGCAGTAGGTAAATGCCTTTGTCAGCATCATTTAAATTTCAATTATCTGTTTCTTATCACTGGACTGTACTAGAGTGTGAAAGGAGTGAAAATGAAAGCTTAACAGCCAAAAATCTGCTGTCTTTATCAAGATGTGAGCTCTGGTTCAGACACTTCGTCCTCTTTAGGCACAGAAAATGACTTTGTATTGTTTACAGGTCAGATATGGGCGACACAGAGTGGAGCACCTTTGGAGCGGATTATCATTGAATTTAACATCCTCTCAGAATTGAACACGGTGACCTTATACAAGTACAGATCATTTAGCTGATATATATGTATATGGATATATTTGCCATTCGATGACTAAACATATTTTTCTTCCATTTAATTTTTTCCATCAAATAATCAGAAAAATATTATATAATATCCTATAGTACACACAGATGCACATCATATATGGACTCTACCCAGTTTTCAAATGTGCAGAGTGAAAGCATGACTCGGTGAGCTCTGCTCTGTTCATCTCTACAATCTTGCATAATTTGACATCTGCAAAGCCTCAAAATTCCCAAAATGAGCACCATCAAGTAATCATTATTCAGCCTGCGTATTTTATGATTCGGTTAAAATGACCTGTGACAGGTTAGAATTAGAAAGATCAGAATTAAAGCAGCAGAGCCCGAGAGGTCCCGACGACACAGCGTTCACAGAAAGTCTGAAATTTATAACTTCGTATAATAAGTCAGCTGCCTCGGGACATCAGAAAATGAGCTGTGACATTTACTTCACAACTAAGTCAGTTACATTTAGTTTCGGGTTGTTTTCCACTCGGTGTAAACTGACAAATATTACACTCAACACTTTTCCAATCATTTAATTTTATCTTTATTTAATTCCTGTGCTATCATAACCATCACCCCGCTGGTGGCATCATGATAAACGTGTGATGCGAGTTCTTCATTGTGTAGCCCGTTTGCTCAGTAGGATTAGAAATGCTCCGTAGTAACAGTGAAAGGCCTTGGTTTGAGTCGGAAGTGGATCCCTTGTGTTCTTATTGTACTGTCACAAAAGAAAACATGAAACAATTCTCAAACACAGATTTGCTCAATGAGACGATCCGGTAAGTGCTCATGAAATATGTCCAGCCGTCAGCAACAGCCGAGTTATTGAGTGTTGAAGTATTTGCTGGGTTATGCTGTAGTTACAGCTGTGGCAAGGGGAGCAACTACTAACAAGCAAAGCAGTGAGTGAAACAGTGACAGCTGTCTTTATGCTCTCAGGTCTGTGACTTTTGAAGTGTGGCAAACATGGCAGATGGCCCCGCCCCTCCCTGAGCCTGGTTCTGTTGGAGGTTTCTTCCTGTTAAAAGGGAGTTTTTCCTTCCCACTGTCGCCAAAGTGCTGCTCATAGGGGGTCATATGATTGTTGGGTGTTTCTCCGTATGTGTTATTGTAGGGTCGACCTTACAATATAAAACACCTTGAGGCGACTTTCGTTATGATTTGGCGCTGTATGAATAACACTGAATTGAACTGAAAAGAGTGAGACTGTTACACTATTAATCGAACTGTGCTTACTTTACAAATCTTGATTGGACATCATGCTGTCAATAACTTGGTGTTCAGTGGTTCACACACGTTTCCTGCTTCAGCTGGGAGTGCTCTTCATGTTTCATTCAGTTCACAGGCCGGCTCAGATCTTCAGAGACCAACCAAAGTTGAAAAGGGTTTCTCAGCGTGCAGTGACCTGTGGGCACGTTTACTCTTCAGTGTGACTTGTTAGTTGAGCGATGAGTTGTGAGAAAAATCACAGCAGTCTGTTGTAAAGACACATAATCATGTAAGGGAAAAACTGCCTCCGGAGTGATAACACAGCTCTGCTGCGTGTAGCTGTTACGCTGATAAAAGAAGCGCGACTGTGAAAGGAAAAGGAAAAGACGTAAGCTTAACGTCTGCTGACCTCTGAAAATGCAAATGAAATCATCCATCTAAATTTCACACTTCCTTTCACATCAGCCTGCTTAAGAACTCTGAGATGATGCAGCACACAGGAAGCTAATGCTACACGTAAGCTGTCCCGTTTAGCTTTAAACCAAAACTCCAGAGATCATAAAGCTCCTGAGATCTAACGCTGGATGAATCACTCACTGCTGTTTTGGAAACGGATTGAGTGCGATTGACTTCCCTTTGGGGGGGAAGGATTTGGCTGCAGCTCAGAGCGGAGCTGCGTTTGAACTAACAGAGCAAATGTCTCCTGAGCACGACGTTTTCTCTTGTTATCATTTTCTTAGAAAGGAAACTCGCCTTGTGTATCTTAATGGAAGAACATACGTTTTTCAGATGTGTAGTGTTTTGATGTCACTGTTGTCTTTAAGAATTTGTTCCAGTGTAGCTGTGAAAATAATTATCTGTGATTTGTTTGCTTTCATGGTCCGTAGTAGATGAATGAGTTTCTTGGCCTTTCATGAAGCCAGAATTAATTTGACATTTATCTAATGGAGTATGGCACCATCTACATCATGTTGCTGATGTTCCCGATCTCCAAATAGAAACCTGCTTTTCATTTGGTGTCACTGTGACCTTGGATGTTACTGTATTTATGCCCCAGACTTGGCAATTATTAACTGGGGGATAAAAGTGGAGGAGACAGAAATGGCCTTGGGTGGAGATCCAGGCCGCTGTAGTGAACCTCACGGCATCGATCGCCTGCGCAACCCGTGAGTTAAGCCGGTGCCCTGAGATAATGGCTGTCCTTCATTGAGTGATAAAGTTCTCATTGTGAGGATGGAAGTGCGGTGGGAGCCTCAGTCACAAATGTCTTAGCTATGAGACTGTGGATCGCGCTCTCTTTGTACATGCACTTTGTGTAGCTTTCTTTTCAGTCAGGTTTAGGCTCTAACAGCTGTTTGATAAGGGGCTAGAAAAAGAGTTACAAATGAACCTTAATGCTCTACATTATTATTATTATTATTACTAGACAATCACTGCGTTTAAATGTGACACAAAGGGCTCTTCAACAAGTTTTTAAAAAGTATGTGATGGATTTGGGTGTGAGAGGTCCTGGTTTCAAGCGCCCAGATATGTTACAACCCACTTAAGTGTTATCTGGGATGGGGTGTAACAAAGTGGGGAAAAAATGTAATAGTTAACATCAGTGGAACATCATTTAATTTACAATTAAGGCAAAATTAGAACAAAAATAAGACACGGGGAAACTCTGAGCGTCATTGTCTCAGTGGCCGAAATAACAAACAAAACACTAAAAAAAAAAACTAAAACCACTCTAACTGTAAGAAAACAGAGTACAGAGGCGGAGCTCGCCGTCTAACCACAAAACAGGAGAAAAAGACTGAAACAAAAATGGCAGAGAACCCTTCCTGCTTCCACTGTGGATCACTACAGTCCCCGTTGTAAAGATACACCTACAAACAAAACAAAGTCACACCAAGCTTCACTAGTTGTGCACAGCTACAGTCCACTACCCGAATCACTGCAGGAAGAAGGGCGCGGCATTTGGACATGGCAGTCTTTATGCAGTGGCTGACGAGCTGCAACACATCTCATCTGTGGTTAGACCTGAAACACAGGAGGAGAAAGAGCCCTCTCACATGGGCAGAGCCCCTAGAGGTCAGCAACTGTAACAACAGCCACTGTATTTATAGTCTCACAGAGCTACTAGCATGGCTTTGTAAAAGCAACACACACCAGAGAACCATCTGTACTAGTTCGATGCACTCTGGTGTGTGTGCTGTTTGTCACGAGTACGTTTGTTTTGGTCATTTAATTGAATTTTTCAAGTCTGACTGATCATTCAGCATAGGGTCTATAATATAGCACACTCTCTATTATAGACAGACTCACGCAGCAGACGCTTGTGCAACTGGAGGCGTCTGTGGCCATTTAGGGTTCAGTATCCTGCCAAGGACACATGACATTGTTGTGTTTACAAGGTTCTATAATAAAGGAAGCAAATTAGTACATGCTGTTACCCTGTCAGACCAGGGGCGCCGCTAATGAGGCTGGGTAAGAGAGAGGGGAGAAGAAGAAAGTAGAGAGAGGTAAAAGAGATGGAGCTCCGCTGTAAAGCCTGAAATAAAGTGTTGAACCCAGACGTCACCTCCGCTGCCTGATTACAAACTCAACAGACATGTAGACCGAAGGAGCCAGGCATCAAAGCACCAGCCTCTGCTGGACTTCCTGACACAGCCACCTCACTCTCAGCATCGTCTGTTTGTCTGATCTCTGTGCACCCATCAGTTATTGTCTAATTACTTTGCATTTCAGTGTTTCTGTTGCTTTCAGAATCACATTTTAAATCCTTCTCCACATGCAAGCTCGCGAATGAGTTATAACATAAAAGTCCAAATATTCTACCTCAGTAAGTGAATGATGAAGAAGATTGTAGCGTCTAAATGGGTCTTTGCAGTCTCTCAGGGCTTTCACTCTGTGCTTTTTGTTTATAAATGATGTGCATGGTCATGTTCAGGTACTTGGTCCTTTGAAGAGGAAGGTAAATTGCCTAAATAGCTGGATTTTTTTTCTTTTTCCCATCATTGTTCCACCTTGCTGCACAACGTGAGGCCAAGGTTTTTGTGAATCGCTCTGATGAAAGAGATGACAAAAGTCAAAGAGGATGTTTGCATCGCTGCACCTTAAAGGATAGAAATGCATCGACTCACGACTGATGTGGGATCATGAAGCTGGCGTATTTTCACATTTAGTTTAATCAGTCTTACAATGCACAAGAACTTCAATACATACAGTTTTTAATTAAACTCACTCTTCATGTTCACCGAACGTTCGTGAGATTGTTTGGTGAACTCAAGCTGCTCTGGCACATAGTCAGTGTGCAACCCTCGGTATATAAAAGGAGTTTGATTACTGTGTAATCCACTGAAGTCTTGTCACAGTAACTTGCCAGGTTTAGCCTACTGGGATAAACTCTGACATGATGCAGCATAATTTGACCTTAGATGGACATAAATTATACTTTTACTACAAAATTATTGGAAAACCTGCCAAGAATCTCTTTAATGGCACCGGAGAAAAGATATGTGCACAGAGCGTTGACTTCTTTTCAGTTTGGTTTCTTTTAGAAAAGTTACAGCACTCAAAACAAAAAGTAAAAAATGCTACTGCCTATTTAAACATTATTATGCAGCCTTTTCGTCCTACGTTGAACAATAATGTTTCTTGACGCATGCAAAAACAGAAAAACCTGCTCATACAGGGCCTTCATAGAGCTTGGGAAATCTTTGAGAAATGAAGTGCATTCAGAGACCTGCTAGTGTATAGATTAGAGCTAATGGAAATCTAATGTAAGAGGATTCATGCTGAATTTTAAATGTCTTTATTGATTTATGTGGAGGCGTCAGCAGCTTTCTGTGCTGATGGCGTCTTTTGTCTGAGGTGTTTGTCTGCGCTCAGGCTTTCTGTTAACAAACATTTCACCTCTGCATACTAATTCTCGTCAGTGAACAGTGTATCCGAGCCTGCTCCTGGATTCCACGCGTTATTTATTTATTTATTGCTTCCTTCCGTGAAAACTCGACATAAATCGTTTCCCATTTTTCCTGCCCCTTTTCCTCCGTTCAGAAATCCCTTCCTGTTGTGACAGGCCGCATCTAAAAGTATATTTTTACTCAATAATTTATTCACTGCCGATTGATGTATGTAGCAGATTTAACCATCAGTCTTTCTAACATCACTCAGGGGAATTTCCACCTTCCAAAAAGATGTGACGTTATTTTGGAAATCTGCAATAAATACTGCTCGCATGATTTTTGACCTCAGAAAATCAATTGTTAGTTTTATTATGAAGCATGTTGGACATTTTTAAAGTATGGTCACAGTTGAAGGTTTGATTTGATTGGATTTAAGGTAGAACAGCTGGACACTGGTGCTGGTCTGTTGTGGTGTGCATAAAGGCACAGCTACTGGTTTAAATGGCTGACCTGCATTCATACTTTGACATATGACAAATAGCTTCTCCAGAAGTCTAGAGATGGCTCGAGGGAGCCGATATTCAGAGGAAATGGTTTAAGCAACCAGTAGGAGAGCCTGAAGCAGACGTAGCATACTCGGGAGAGTTTGTGTCCGCTGGCTGGTTTGGGAGCATCTCTCTATCTCAGTGAAGAGTAGATATCATGGGCATTGTTTATTAAATTTTTTATACAGCGTATTATTGGAACTGGTCTCTTTTAAAATGTGTACCCCTTGTGTTTACATCCTCAGTGGCAGTTACCAGGTGACGTCAGTGATCCTGTGTTGTTTTCCCTGCAGATGGATCTCAGAAGAATGGGAGCACTGTACCAAAACCTGCAGCAGCCTAGGCTTTCAGATCCGAACCGTTCGCTGCGTACAGTTCCTGCATGATGGCACGAACCGCTCCATCCACAGCAAATACTGCAGCGGCGAGAAGCCCGAGAGCCGAAGGCCCTGTAACAGAGTGCCGTGTCCTGCCCAGTGGAGGACCGGAGCCTGGTCAGAGGTATCCACCGAATGTATTTGTTCTTCGGGGCGGGGGCCATATTTGTCATATTTTCATGTTTCAGATCTTTTAAAAAAATATATTATTAAATAAAGGTAATGCAAAAACATACAACATGCAGTCTTTATGCAGAACTTGAAAGTGGAGTTCAAGTTCACTCCCCGCTCCCAGACCTGCAGTGGGACAAAGTGCAGCAAACTAAACAGCGCATCATTCCACGATATAAAGAAGCAGCTGAGAAACCAACTCACTGACATCTGTCACTTTGGAAAAGGTTACAAAGACCACTGCTGACCAAAAAGAGTACAAAAGCTCGAATCACATCTGCCAAAAAACATCTGGATCCTCGCCGAGACTTTTGGGAACTGACAAGACAAAAGCAGAACTGTCTGCAAGGTTTGAGTCCTGTTACATCCGGCTTCAAGCTAAAAAACAAACATCAGACGTGGTGGTGCGATGGTATGACCTTAAACAGGCCGTTCATGTTTGCAAACCCTCCAGGAAAGACGTGTGGCCTAAATTCCCTCCACAGTGATATGAAACTCTCCCATTTATCTGTTTGATTGCAAAGTGTGATTGTGCAAGTGTAGCACAACCGTTTATTGGGTTTAGACGACTGCTGCTTTGTCACTTTGGGGCAGGTAACTTTGGATGATCTGAAACATGTTAAATATGCAAAAAATGGAGAAACTACTAAGGTGGCAAATATTTCACGTTACTGGGTTTGAGCATGAAAAAGCCATTTTCTTTTGAGTCGCAGATCAAAGAATCGCATCTGAAAGAGTCGTTTATATTTGCTGTTTGTCTTTGATGTGAGGGTGAAGAATTTGGTCCCAGACTTTTGTGACTGATTTCATTCTTAATGTAACGTTGTTTTCTGTTCCCCAATGGCACCTCAGCTGACATAGCAGGGTCTCTGTACAAAGAATCAGGCATCTGTAATATTTCATTTAGAGCCGTGTCGCATCTCATCTGCAAACATGCCAGTTTTACAGCCTGCACTTCCTCCAAATGAGACCTTTAAAAAACCACATCAAAGAATTCAATAAATCAGGCGTCCGGCTGAGTGGCACGATGCAAAGAAGAGCTAATGAGATGTGTGTCTTTGTGTTAGTTGTTCATTTGTGTGGGTGGGGTTTTTGTAACATGATTGGGCTACAGCTTCTGATTAGCAATATATATATATATTTAGTATATGTACAGTTAAGCTGTGAGTGAGAGTAGTGGTGCAGTTTCTTTAATGATTTGTTGGTAAATTAAAGATGTTTTTAAATCATAAAAACATGCTTTTTTACTTCTAGGCTGATGGAATATGTTCGAACAAAATCTCATGAAATTAGCCACTTACAGTGTTCATTCAAATACCAACAGTCAAACTAATTGCTTCAGTATTGCAGTCTTGCAGGTTTATCAATAAATTATTCAAAATGTTGTAACAGAAGAAAGAGGATCTCTCCACCTGGGCCTGTTGAGATTTCAGATGCTGTTTGGCTTCATTTGAGGGCTTTAAGTTTGTTAATTCGCCAGAATCCCTGGGTACAAAATAAAGATGCCACTGAAGCAAAGTGAGACAGAGACAAAATACTTTAGTCGTGTGATGTATTCCCAGGATAGTTTTCTAACATATAAAACTCTGAGGAAAGTAAGAAGTGTTGTTTCTTTTTGAACATTAAACCTGAAGTGAATTTTCAGCTCACTTTTCTTATCTTCAAACTCTTGCTCAGTGTTCTGTGACGTGTGGAGAGGGGATAGAAAGGCGTTTGATCACCTGCCGGATTGGAGATCAGTGTAACGGAGAAAAGCCCGAAAACGTGAGGCCGTGCAAACCTGGACCCTGCCACGGTAAGAATGTCTGATGGTGCAATCCTCGTCGCAAACATGCAGCGTCTTCTTTTCATTTACTCCATTAACATTTCAGCACATTGTGCTTCCCTCCACATAATCAGTAATTCCAACATGCCCGTCTTTCAGTCCAGCAGGTCCTCTAGACAAAATACATAATGCATGTCATTTGCTCTTCATTTTAGCAGATTACGTCCTTGATAAAAAAAATACCAAATCTTGCATTTTCCCCTGACCTCGCAGCCAGCCGACGGTTTCCATTTATTTTTAAATGAAAAGGAAAATCAATCAGCAGCCCCTCGAAACGGGCTCGGTCCATCTAGCCTGCAATAATTCATTAGAAAGTACCAACATTGTTCACGGGTGAGTGCAGTTCACGACCAGGTAGACGGAAGCATCTCTGCTGACATTACAACAACAGTAAAACTTCATTTAAGCATTTCCCGTGATTGATTTAGACTTCGAGTTTTGTGCCGCTTCGAAAATTCAATCAGTCACTGCTTGAAGGAAGAAAGATGTATTCAGATGTTAACAGTGCGTCCTTTCACATGCTCTTATTGACTGAAACGTGCCGCCCTGTCACGCTTTCATTTAAAGTCATTTCCTTTAGTGATTTAAAGCCCAGACAATGACATTTGTGAAGAAATAACACATTATTCCTCTTACTTTGCTGCTAACGTCATTCTTCCAGTTGGAGCTGCTGTGATGACATTTGAAAGTGTCCAGCGTCTGTATGAAATTGCTTCACCCCACAAAAACTCTGCTCAGTGGTAGCACAGAAAGGCGTCTGCGCCTGCACGAATGTTTGCTAGACTTTGGTTTGAAATGCATCAAAGCAAGTAAGGCCGAAGGAATCGTCCCATTCTGCTTTGATCGAAAGCTCATTCATAGATCTAATGGAATAACACTTTTGTGTCTTCATTAAGTAAACTGCATAATCGCTCACTTTCTATTCTGAGGGGAAACTTCGTGGAGCTTACGATGTCATGTGCATAAATGGCCGACATTGTTTTCAAGCAGTCATGCTTCTAAGTGCATTGTGTGTTAATTAGCTTGTGCTTAATCTACAAATAGAAACATACAAAGGTTAATGACGAAGTCTGCTGCTGTTGGTTGTTTTAAAACCTTTCTGTCACACAACCTTAGAAGAAAGCTTTTAGAGATGCTCCAAAAGATTCTTTGTTCATTCATCTGCAATGAGACAAGATGTGAAGGAAGTTCGCCAACAGTCCTGCAAAGATCTGTGAAGAACCTGAAGTTAACATACAAAAACCTGCAGAAAGCTCTACAATGAAGTAAAAACCATGTTATATGTCCAGTGTAGAAAACAAACCTGTATTTTGGCAGATCTCAGTTTTTCAAAAGAACTGAATGTTCCACACAAGATTTCTAGGACAGCGTTTAGCGAACAGATGGGACAAGAGTGTAACTCTTAAGCTACACTGCACACCAAAGCATGCAGGGTCTGGGTGACTTGTATTCAATAAAAATAGAAACACAAACAAACTCAAGGCAGGAGGCTGGCTTAGCGTTTAGGAGACGAGACATCGTGTTAAAGTCAGGACGAGTGAGATGCTGTGACATGTTTGAAGGGGGCCAGTGATGTAAACAGTTTGGTGTCTATGAGAAGCTAACACAGGTTGCTGCTGCTGAAGGACGTTTAACAGGTTACTAAAGTCACGAGTTTACCTATTTGTACAGCCGTGACAGGACGCGATCACAAACATGAAATTTAAGGTTGTGTGTCACTATTCTAGGACAACGTGCAGTGAAACAAAAATGAGACAAAACCCCCCCAAAGCATTGTGTTTGTTCACAACAGCGATGAAAATCAGCAAAAGGAGTCCAAACAGAATCCTGCCAAATCCAAACCTTTTCATGGAACGTCTTCTGATTTTAATAACGCGCCCTAAGCACCTACGTGGCCTTTCTGAGACAGCACACAGATTTTTAAACCAGCGTATTTTATTGATCGTGTCAGTGGAAGTGCATGTCATTTGTAAATGTCGCTGCATGCTCTTTATGCGAAACATAAATGCCAAGTCAGTATTTAAGTTACAGAGATACATCTCATAATAATAATAATGGAGCACACTCATAAGGCGGCGAGAGCACATTAAGCTCTCTGCAGGTAGCATTCCAGCTGTTATATATGCATGTGTTTATTTTATGTGTGCATGCTGTGAGTTTATGTAGAACATCGTCCCTCAAACAGGAAAAGAAGAGGTTTGAATGAACAAAACGTCTGTGGTTTGTTTGGCCGACGCTGCTGTGGGATTATTACCTTTACTTTAAATCTTTACTGTGTTGCTGTGCATATTTATTTATAATTTTAGCAGAGATAAAGGTAGTTATTTTGCATTTTTGTGTTAAAGGGCAGCAATTGAATGGCAAAATATCAAACAAGGTAAAAGATCTTTCTGATTAGACCTGAGACATTTTCATGCATGTGCTTAGAAGAGTCGTTGAGGTCTCTGGAAGTTGTTTTAGGACGGATGTAAGTCTTGTTAAGCAACACTCAGCAGTTTTATTTGTTAGAGAAACAAAAGCAGAGTTTGGTGCCTGAGAGCGTGAGGGGGATGAACCGGAGCCAACACCAAACACGCTTGGAATTGGTTTGTACAGTAGTAGAAGAAACTGGGTCACATCTCCCGTCCAGGCAGAACAGAATGAGCATCGTTATGCTGAATGTGCCGTTAGAATGTGCACAGACACTTTCTTTGCTGTCAGTCTCTAATTAAAAGCAACGCCTCTGCGCTTTGTAAGGCATCCCTTCCTCTCTTTGATCTCTTTCCAAGGCCATTTAAACTTTCCAGAGTTTTGACACTGCGGCGAGCTTACACTGTATGCTCTTTGACTTACAGATGAGCCGTGTAATGGGGACAAATCCATCTTCTGCCAAATGGAGGTGTTAGCGAGATACTGCTCTATCCCAGGCTACAGCAAGCTGTGCTGCGACTCCTGCAGTAAGCGCACCGGAGCCCTGTCTATGTTCTCGGAGGCGGCTGAGACCGAGGAACACGTTCGCTTCGGATCAGCCTCACAGCTCCTTGAGACGCTAACGGCTGCAGTAGCGGCCAACGGCACTCGCGGTGGGAAACAAGGCGCGGGCAAAGGATCCGCCACATCGGGCGGTGCAGCAAAACACATCACCACGCCTGCTCCAGTTAAGAAAACCCCATCAAAGATCGCTACAGCACCAAGGCGGGTTCCACGGCATGCGGACCTCACTGACAGGAAGCTGTCCACCCAGGCTGGTCCTACTCAGGGTCAAAGGTCAAGCAGTTTGGTGGACAGTCGGCAGCCTGTGGCATATTCTGAAGTGGAGCGATGAAAGTCATAGCTTTTGCCTTTAGGACTCGTAATGTACAGTAGATAATCCAGCTTCATCCTGAGTCTTCTCACACCAGAAAACACAGAGAAAGAAAAGTGCTGGTTCACTTTGTAAGAATTTGACCCTGATACGGACTCTAAATATCTCTTTAACCACCTGCAGCTTCCAGATTGCTGAGGCTGAAACAGCCGTGCTACTTTGCCCTCATACTTCTATATTAATATGAAACAAATATGAAATCATTTCAAGGTGTAGGGGCACGTGAGCCACGGGGAGTTTTCAACCGTGTCAAATGAAAAGCTAAATTACGTTCGTAGTGAATACTTTCAGGGATACAAAACAGCCAAAGGACAGTATTCAAAAGATGTTTGTCGCTCTGACTCATACATTCCCGATGTCTGACATTTATTTCATTTTATCACCTTGTTCACTTGTTCAGGCAAATGTTTCTCTAATGTCACCTGCACAGTGAAAACTGAGAGAGCAGGTGGAGGAAGGTGTCTGCATTCCCCCTCCGGACGAGCGGTCGCCTGGTCTCGTTACTGAATAAACCAGACTCCTGCTGCCTGCAGAGCAGCTCTGCTGCTGCAGGTATCCAGAGAGAACGTGTGAGCAGGTGCAGAGACCAGAGCTAACCCAGCTGTGTAGATTTAGTAGAACTCAGAGTATGCAAATAGATGCAAGAATTGGTTTAAATGCCTCTTGCATTTCAGTTCATTTAAAAGTGACTCCACTAAAGGCCGCCCATATGGAAAAACTTCTATGATTTACTCATGAAAGTGGCCACTTTCTCATTACTTTCATGTATTGTTTTAGTATCCAAAACATACAAGTTTCATTATATAAATGTGTTTTCACTCTTATATGCTTTTCATACAAGTTTCACACAAGACAGATACAAACTTTATAAGATTTATATAGATCTTTTCCATGTGGGCACGTTTGCCACGTTGGTTCTTTTTGGATAAATCTCAGCTTTACGATGCGTTTAATTGATTGCATCCATATCCTGTCCCCACATTGTGACCTTTGAGGTAGATGTCAGAGTTCGGTGTCATTTTAAAGTTAACAATAGTCAAAGCCAGATCAGCTGAGAATTCCCACTACTTGAATGTTACAAACTGCCAGTTTTCTTGCCAGAAATCGAACTTTAAAGCTCGACTTACAGAAAGTTCAGCCGTCAAAATATTCAGTGAAAAATGATTTACCGTACTTTAAGTGAATATGAAACAGGAACAGAGATGAATTTCCCCGGCGCACTATTTATAAAGCTTCCTGTAAATGCTGTACATGAGAATATCAGTATTCTTTTAAGAAGGTGGGATGCTTTCAAATACATTTTTAACCAGTTCTGACAGATGTTGGTGCCAGTGTTTACCCTTCCAGGGACTGTTCACATGGGCAGAAAGGGATTATTGACTGATCATTGATGTAGCTTTCCTTTCAGAATGCCATGAAGGTTTCTGTTCTAACTTAAGGAAAAGTCAAAGTGCAGAGAGATGAGATGTTTGATACCTTGTATGACACAATTAAGTTAGTTTTTCATAAACACTGAAAACATGGGGAAAGCTAACCGGCTCTGTCCAAAGAAAACACCACCTATCAGCACCGAAGCATTCATCCTGTTTCTGTGTTTAGTACAGGAACAGCTTTGTTAGACAGAGCTCACTTATTGCTTTGCTGCACCAAGCTGGCTGCCTTTCATATTTAGCTTTGTTCCATGTTTTTCTCTTCTTCTCAGAAATACTTAAGGGCAAAGAAGAGAACTAACTAAAGAGCATGCGCATATAAAATAGACCGCACAACACTCAGGTTAAAGGACCAAAATTATTCATAATACATGTAAAATGTGTTTTTACTTTAGCCTCACTTTTACCGTGACTTTTCGTTAACCTGTGAAAAGAAAGAAATGCAATCCGATATCAGCACACCGCTATAAATCCTTGTCCTGTGAAGCTTTCTGTTTGTGTTTGTTATTGAGGTCGTAGAGGGCAGTGATGTGGGAAGGAAGGGAGGCAGCCTATGTAGCCTACACGTCCTCACTGCCTGAAACCTCCATAATCAGGTAAAATCATAAGAACCTTTGAGGAATGTCAGCAAAGAGTGAAAATGATGAGTTGTTAGCAGAACTGCTGTGTTAGATTGCATTCGCGTTCACAGGTGAGCCTAATAACTAAAGCTGCATTAGTTGACTTTTGACCACTAGGGACCAGACAAACTCAAAAACAAATTATCTTTAACTTTTAGACACATTAAATATTCTCCCCGTGCAATGAAGTCCGACTTATTTTAGCTCAGGAGTCCCCGCCATCTCTCACTGTCTTCACCACCCAGCTGTTTGTTCCAGCTGTGCTTTTAGCTTTTTTATGAAGAGCTAAAACAATGTAATCTGTCAGTACTGAGCTTGGAAAATTGATCTACCCTTTCACAGTCTGCCGATACAGAGCCATGTCATTCAGTTTTAATATGAAAATTGCTTAATGACCCTTGGAGCTCGTTAGATCCTTTCATGATTAGCCTGAACGAGGTTCTCTGGTACGTGTTACGTTTGCAGGAACAAAGCTTTGTTGTAAGTACAATAAGCTGGAATTTAAAAAAAGACTTACTGTATGTGGAACATCTTTCTTTCCAGAGTATTCTCTAAATGGCTTTTTTATTAAGGTGGAAAAAGGTTTTGGAGAGAGAAAGCTATTTATTTATAAGTGGATTTCCTTGCAACCACCATGCATCTGACTGCAATAGCAAAAGGCACAGATTTGTGTTTTCAGCAAAGAAATAGCTTGCAACTATCCACACTCAGTCCTGTGTGCCAATGTATAGAACATGTATATAGCATTGAGTGCATAAGTATTTATTGAAAGTTAAAGGGTTCTGCTTTGTTGTCGCAGCGTGTGCAGCAGCCGGCCGATAAGCTGCATTGGATAAACCATTGAAAACTGATCACCTCTTTCTCCGGTCATATTTTCACATTGGAAGCAGATTTGTGCTTGTTAACGAACACAGTAGAGTAGAAATGACATTGTTTTTGCAAACAATTAGATGTAAATATACATGCTCAATTTTGAGATGTTTTACTTGTCAGAAAGCTGTTTTTTCACAGCTGTTGTGTAGAAGTCTTTATCCGAGTCGTTGCAACGCAGCAGCGTGAACTGACCAGACAGATGCTTTATTTTAACCGATAAAACATGAATAGCGTAGTACCAGTAAAGCTGCTTTATGCTGTTTGTAGTTGGCAGTATTTTCATTTTCCTCCCAGTTCTTTTCACAGCATTTACTTGCTGCCTATAAACTCTGCTGCTAATGCTATAGAGAGCTTGTAATGATAACTAGAGTAGCCGTAGATGTTACTTTGACAATCCCTGAGCCTCAGACAGCTGTTATTGCATAGGATTTTCCATGTACTGTATCAATACCCCTGTGCTGTCCATGCATTGAAGTATTGGATTGTCATGAACGCAAGTCACTCTGTTCTATTTGCTTTACTATGTATTTGTGTAGATTGAAGTGTACACTACTGATGCTGTTTGTTGTAATGGGGAGCACATAGCAATAAAAGAAATAATTATCTAGTCTGTGTTCTTGCCTTCGGCTCTTTCCACCATTGCTTTTTCTTCTGGGAAGTGAATTGATGCAGAAAAGAGATATTCTTGGTATGTAGTAATAACAGTGATGTAAAATAAGCCCAGAGCTCCTGCAGTCTGTAAACATCCTGTCTATCTTTGGATTGTTCAGAACACGACATACACACAAAAAACCACGAAAGCATATTCAGAGATTTTGATCATCATGCTTAATTTCTTTTATTAACGAAAAGACCAATCATGTGTCTGCGATGGGTCCCTGCTTTTGGCTTTTTTAATGAAATCCAGACTAAAAACATGACATTATATCACTTTTCCTTTTCACATACAACGACGCTGAAGCCGTTTTCCTGCACTCCAAAGTCTTCGTCTCCTTCAAATTAAAAGCCAACCAATTCCTCATTGATCACAGCTTCCTGCCTTTTCCTTGTATCACAATTAAGTGATTGTTTAATGTTTTGAGTTATTCGCAGTTGCTGGCAGGAGATTGATAGATGCCTTCTTTTACATGTACAGTATGAGCTTTGGAGGCAGTTGTAGGTTTTGGTGCTGCTTTCTGTGTCCTTCCCCTAAACCATGATGGTGAACAAGCTTTGTCTTCAGGTCATGTGAGAGTTGTTTTGAGACCCCCGTGTTGCTACTGAGAGAAAATTAAAAGAGGAGGGAAACTTAGTTTACCCCCCTTAAATACTCTTTCTCATTATTGGATTCACCTGTGTACAGAGATGGGCAGTAACGCGTTACTGTAATCTGATTACTTTTTTCAAGTAACGAGTAAAGTAAGGGATTACTATTGCAAAAACGGTAATTAGATTTCCGTTACTTTCCCGTAGGAACGCTGCGTTGCTAAAACCGTGACTTTTTGCGAGAATGTCTCACGACAGTGACGTAAGCGAGTGCGACATTCGTGACAACAGCTGTGTGCAGATCAACAATGGATCACATATCGATTGTGGGAGAGAGTATGAGCGTGCAGCGTTTAAAGCGTGGAAGCACTGACCTTACTTTGAGTTTGATTCCATAAAAAGTGACAAAAACATGAGTGTCCGCTGTGCGTGGGAAGAAAACTTCTTTTTACAGCGAAAAAACCCCTAAACTTCCAACAAGCACCGAGTAGCTACGATGTAATGGGAAACTCACAGTGAAACTGCCGTATCCTTCCACTGACCGCGGCACACCTGCACCAGGGTAAACCTCCGCCTGCCCCACTCCTGCTTTACAGGTGAAAATAGAGCAACAGGACCGCTGAGGCTTTGACTTTATTTATTTTCTGCTGTGTTTTACTTGCATCTATTTGAAAGACTGAGGGTAAACACAAAAATATTTTATTTTATGTGCTGGAATGTGCAGAAAATAGGTTTAAATGTTAAACTAATTTCTTCCAGTCAGAGAATTTTGCAGATAATTAAATGTTTGCTTGATGCATAAAGTTAAAAGATTAAAACTAATAAAACAAGTTTTAAAAAGAGACTTTTCCATTTGATTACATTTTGTATGATGGATTATGCAGGAAGTAGAATTAGGCTGAAAAATCTTTCACTTTATCACCTGTTCAGGTTGTAAATCGTGTTTTTAAAAAGTAACGAAGTAACTAAGTAATTAATTACTTTTGAAAATAAGTAATCAGTAAAGTAACGGGATTACTTTTGGGGGAAGTAATCAGTAATTAGTTACTGATTACTTTTTTCAAGTAACTTGACCAACACTGCCTGTGTATGTAGGTCAGGGGTCACCTGCCTGATTTTGTTTAAACAATTCTTGCACACTTTCTATAAATCCAATAAACTTCCTTTCACTTCTCAAACATCACTGTGTGAGTCTCCTGGATGATATATTTAACTGACATTTTTTATTGTACCAACCAACGATTTATACAGGAAAATAATGACTATTAACAAGGCTGCCCGATCTTTTGCATCCCACTGTAGGTTTCATGTTCTCCCCACTTTGCAAATCAAGCCTACACCCTTGCTGATGAACGCCCACACCCTCCTTTGTAAACCAGCCATTGTGTGGTCTTCCATGTTGTATTACATAATGTGCAGCAAAGCATTTTTCATCCTTACACTGAATTTCCTCCTAGATTTAACAAAAATGTCCTCAAAAAATAAAACTCAGTGCGTGCACCTTGTACCGTGTTGTCTTTAAATAGATTCTGTGCAGTAGGATCCTGGTCTTGCTTTTAATAAGTGTGACAGCAGCAACAATAGCTGCGTGTGGCTGTTTGCTTGACAGAAGCCAGTATCTCACTGGTATTATTATCCTTTGACACTTCCTAAAATTGCTTTGCCCACACGTTGGTGTAGGAAAAACCTGATCTATTGTCCTGGCGATGAGAGAGCGGCGGAGTTCTGTTATGAGCACTCACCTTAAAGAAGAGGGCCTCTGAAAAATCACTGCAATCACTGTGCTGAGTGACCACAATCATCCTAAGATGAAAACTTCCTATTGTGCTGGAAGTAGTCTCCTCCAGGATGTTAAAGGCCCCGTCCATAGGTCAGGAGGGGTCAGCGAATGGTTTGATGAGCTGGAAATGATCGTTGGCACATCTCAATCCCAAAAACGGCCTGGGAGGATTTTACACATGAACAACGGGCTTCAGCAGAGTTCCAGAAACATGGAGAGTCAGTGCCAAGATGAACTGAAGTTGTTCTGTTTACACCTTTCCTTTCAAATTCAGCTCTTTGCTCTGCACTGCATCGTCTCTGAGAGGCTGAAGCAAAAGGACTCAGATAAAAGAATTCAAGGTAAAGCAAAGTACTGCAGGTGGAGTCACCGGTGCATGTAAGCCTCTGAGCTCTACCCCACAAATACAAGAGCAGAAAGGATAGAAGGTGACACAGTTAGGACTTCCTGCCTCTGTCACAGTGCTGCGTGGCAAAATGAGAAAAAGATGGCAGCTGGGAAGTTGAGGGGGTTGTGTGTATTAAACCAGAGAACACAAGAGCCACGCTGACTACAAGTTAATTACTCTGTCACGGCACACTGAATAGACGCATACATTAAATTAATAACAGCTTTTTTTCATGACTTCTCTCATCTAATTAATACGTTTTGTGAGGAGCTCTCCACAGAAAGCAGCATAATTTCACAATTTTCATTGTGTCGCTTTTTTGTGCGAACAACAGCCAGGCAGTAGCAACTGTGCACGAGTGATGACAGTGCACGTCTTGACTGACGCACTATGAACCGCTGTGGACTTGGGTGGCTGCTTTTGGCGGTGCTGCAGGAGCGTGACATGAGTCTGCTACAGAAAAGCCACTCGTGTCTGACTTCTTCTTTTCTGACATCTTGACATCACAAACTTTTTTCAGGCTTTATTCTCACCGGCTGCACCTTCGACTCGTCAGTGAGGAGTCTAGATTATACGCTGCTGAAGAATCCTCCGTCACAATCATTGGAAAAGAAGAGACAAAAAAAGGAAGGAGCATCGGTCATGTGGGATTTTACCTGTAACGCTGCTGCTGTAGTTTCTTAAATTTGAGTGTATTGTGCTTTCAAGGAAATGCTTTCAGTGTTTTCTGGGTTATAAAACTATTTATGATTATTTTAGCTTATTAGCCCAAATTTAGCATCTTAAAAACCTCCCGAGGTCAACATCCTGAAACCTTCAGTGCTTCTGTTTTTTCTCTCGTTGCTCTTTTTGTATTTGAATATATTTATTACTGGATGATTTGTGGTTTGTGACACTGCAGTGTCCTGTAGTTCCACGTGGGACTGAGACCATTTTTGGCACGATGATGAAATAACAATTAAGGCCTGAAACAACCCAACAGTCATTTTGAAATGAAATAACAGGTAAACACTGTGTTAGAACTGAAATGAGTGAATTTTCATTCACGTTGAGTAATGTGATTATTGACACCTGTGCGTCTTTACTCTTCTTGTATCGACACGGCTGCTGTGAAAATGGTTTGTGATCAGATTTTGTCACAGGCCCACTGGGTAACAAATCACTGCTCTGAAATCAGATGCGCAGAGAGGAGCCGCCTCACAAAGAGAAAGGCATTTTAACAGGGCTGTCTGTGCTGTACTTCCATAGATCCGGTCAGAGAACAGATAGATGGTTTTGTATTGACAGTTTTTGCAGCGTGCACTGCAACAGTCCGTCCCAGGGGAAGGCCACCACGTGGGCACAGCCTGAGCCCTGACACAGTCTCTCATTGTGTGTGTTTCTCTAATTGAGGGGCAAGCTTGCCAAAATCTTTTGTGACACAGCTCACTGTGGAAGCATGCAAGGAAGTCTGACAAAATCTTGGCACAATAATGATCATTTTTGTGCGGTAGAACATCTGTGATTTGACCGACGGCTGATTCTTCTTTGTTTGCAGGAAGAAAAGGCTGACAGCTCTTTCTTTTTTTTATTCTTTTCCCTTTTTTGTGCGTTAAACGTGACATTCTCATACAAAGTAAAAGAGGGGGAAGTTTTCCTCAGGTAAAAATGGACTGATCGTGCTGGTGTGCCACCATGATTTTTATATGGAAAGTCATTCTGTTCAGAAATTAAAAATGGGACAAAGAAAAGAGCTTCTGCATAATTTGCTGTCTTTATACAAATGCCTGCAAGGAAGTCAGTGAGAATAACATTTACACAAGTATTCAGACTAAATCTGTGATGTGTTCATGCTTGACAGACTTACCAGACTCAGCCAAGACTACCTCTGTGCTCCAAGGAGAGGTTTTTTGTTATCAGCATATTTGGGACTCTACAGGCTACAGGCAGACCTGAACATTAAAAGAACATATTTCATAAAAAGTCAGATGCTTTTATGTACAGTACTGTGACAGTACAGTACCTGATCCAATTTTATAATTCAATATTTGATCAATTCTTAATATTAGACTAAGAAAACCTGAGAAAATACAAGATGGAATTTAAATTGCGTTGGCAGCAATAACTGTAACCAAGCATTTGTGATAAGTGGCAATGAGAATAACAATGGTTAAAATTGCTTGTGAAAAGAAATGCATGTGATAAAAGACCCAGCACATTTACATCTTTGTAGTTCTACAAAGAAAAGCGTCTCTGAGCAGCTCTATAATAACAGATCCGGGGAAACCTGATAATGTGTTGTTTCTCAGTTCATTCGGTTTTCTTTTTAAGATCAAGTTTGTCAGAAGAAAATAAGCTCAATTCAATTCTTCATCCGCTTTATCCGAGGCCGGGTCGTGGGGGCAGCAGTCCAAGCAAAGAGGCCCAGACCTCCCTCTCCCCGGCCACCTCCTCCAGCTTATCCGGGGAACACCAAGGCGTCCAAGGCCAGCCGAGAGATATAATCTCTCCAGCGTGTCCTGGGTCTGCCCCGGGGCCTCCTCCCGGTGGGACATGCCCGGAACACCTCACCCAGGAGGCGCCCAGGAGGCATCCTTGTCAGATGCCCGAACCACCTCAGCTGGCTCCTTTCGATGTGGAGGAGCGATCTCATTGGTCACTACCCACAGCTCGTGGCCATAGCTGGACTGGCCATCGGGCATACCGGGCATTTGCCCGGTGGGCCGCTGGCGATTTTTTGTTTTTATGGGCCGATCGATTTTGGGTATAAATAATGAAAGGTGTTGGATTGGCCAATTGGTCATGATCGACTCTGGGCTGGACCAATTACAGCCGAGGAGGTCGGATGCACCCTCCCCCTTGTTTAGCAATCTTATAGACGAACTAAAGAAAATGGAGAACAAAAAAAGGAAAGGAGGTGCAGAAAAAATTAGGGCCAAAAAGAAACAAGCCCTTCAGG